GTTGAGACGTCGGATATATAATATAAAAACAAGAGGAGATAAAATTCCTCCCTGACAGACACCAACAGAAGCCAACCGTGGGCCATATAGGTAACCATTATTCTTAACAAAAACTTTTCTTTCAGACAAGAACTTTTGGACCCAATGAACAAGTTTTGGTGGTATACCCACTGAAGTTAACTCATTAGAAAGCACATCAACATTGACACTGTTAAAAGCTCCCGCAACATCAAAGAATACAGACACCATAGTTTGATTTTTTACTAGACAATTTTGGATGTCAAGTTGTAATTGGCAGATACTTTCACGAGATGAGCGACCTCTTCTAAATCCAAACTGATTCGAAGGTAAAATGCCATTTTTTTCCACATAGAACTCCAATCTTTGCTTTAGTAGTTGTTCAAAAATTTTTCCTACACATGAAGTTAGTGCAATAGGGCGATAAGAATCTTTATCCAATTTAGGCTTATTAGGCTTTAAAATAGGAACCAAGCAATCTATTTTCCAACAAGGTGGTATGTCATTGTTTTCCCAAAGATGATTTAAAACCTTCAAAAATATCTGCAAACTAGAATCACTAAGAGTTTTCAACATTTTATAAGGGATACCATCCAATCCAAATGCACTTTCTCTTCTGGAGGAGACTGCGTTTTTCAATTCTGTTATTGTAAATGGTTTTATTAAAAAGAGGTTGGTGGAATTTGATTGAGATCTATTGTAGGAACAGTCCTGATGAGTAGGTACATAATCAGGAGTATATTTCTTAAGAAAAGGTAAAACCCAGCTGTCACAGTCTGGATGACTTAAAATAAAAGATTTATTGAATTTACGCATATATTTCCAGATTACAGTAAGAGGGGTACAACGATTGAATGAACTACACAAATCAGCCCAGCTTTTTGATCTTTCAGTTTTAAGGGTGAGTTTTTTTAAAGCTTGCAACCTTTTAAATTCCAAATAGGTTGTTTCTGATGGATTATTTTTAAATGTAATATATGCTTGTTTAGAATTACTCACAGCAACTGAACAATTATTATTCCACCAAGGTAATGAGAGTCTTTTGCCAGTTTTTCTGTTGGTAGAGTTGGATTTTAATTTGGTAGGGGTTAAAGACTCTGTGGCTGAATAAAGAATTTCACAAAATAGTGTATAAGCCTCCAATGGGGTGTATGATTGAACACAAAACTCAGATAAAAGACTTTCAACTTTACATTGATACATTTTCCAATCAACCAGTTTAAAATTTTTGAATATTGGAAAAGTGACCTTATCATCCATGACATTATTGTTATTACAATCTTGTTGGTTGTTGACATTGAGACTAATATTTGTTTTTACAGGTAGATGATAACTGCCGAGAGGATCATCATGAACAGACCATTCACAAGATAAAGCCAAAGAAGGACTAACTATGGTCAAATCTAGAGCATTGGGCCGCCAAGTTAAAGAGCCAACTGTGGTTGGTTGCCCATCATTAAGAAGAATCAAGTTATTTTCATCAATGATATCCAGAATATCTCGACCACGAGGATTTGTGGAATTACAGCCCCAAGAAGAGTGATGACCATTAAAATCACCTGCAAAAATCATCGGACCAGGGATAGATTTTATAAGAGAATCTAATTTGCTTTTACTAAAGGCAGGATTAGTATTTGGAGGACTGTAAAAGCTAACAATTGATATATCTTTATTTCTTATTGTAATACGAATACAAATATTTTGCAAAGTATTATCAAAATTTGTATTGATTTTAGTATAAACAATGTTATTGCGAATTAATATTGCAACTCCATTATGTATATTATCAGAATCATTTCTTTCTATGTTGTAACCTTTTATTTTGAATTGTTGATTCGGTCTTAGCCAAGTTTCTGATATTAATGCTAAATGAATGTTGTGTTCATAAAGAAAATTTGTAAATATGAGCCTACTGCTTACTAAACTCTGAGCATTCCATTGTACAATATTTAAGTTAGCCATTTTTATTTTTGGAAGGTATTTTTCTGAATGTATTATGTAAATTTTCTTTTATAGTATTACTATTTATAGGTACATTCTTATTAGATACTATATTCATTATTGTTTCTACTAATAAATTCATATATAAGTCTGATTTTGATAAATTATTTAAATGTGTTTCTATCGATTTTTCGGCAAGTTTGGGAAATGATTTTTCATTAAACAGTTCTGAATACTGCACAGCTCTACTTTTAATTTTGTTGTCTTCGATCTGTTGCTTTTTAATTGGACAAGAGGATGAGATGGCTACGTGATTACCTCCACAGTTAGTGCACTTTGCATTTTCTATATCAACAGTACAAGATTTATAATTATGATTTGTCGAACAAATTGAACAGACTTCATTATTGCGACAAAACTTAGCAATGTGACCGAAACGCATGCAACGTAGGCACTGCTTAACAGGTGGAACGTATGGACTGACCTCGTGTCTCCAATGGTCTAGATATACGTATTCTGGCAACTGAGTAGAGGCAAACGTTACTGCGACTGTTTGCGTGGGCTGGTACGAGACTGCACCAGCATCCCCCCGCACACGCCGCATGAACCGCCGGACTTGTATAATGTTTTTGGAGCTACCTATCAAAGAGAAAATGTTTTTATTTGACAATTCGGTAGGGACAGATTTTAGCACACCGGTTACTTCAGTGTCCTTTGCTGGAATGGTGGCCACTACGTCCAACTCTTCCAAAAGTTTAGCATTTTGTAAAAAAACATTGGCATTGTTCGAAAGATCGAACGTTATGCCGACTTTATACCGATTACCCGGCCTTAAATGTAAAACACCGGACACGCAATGTGTTCGGATGGCTTTTGAAATTTTTATTCTGTCTTTGTCCGTAAATGGCGTATCATAAGTTTTGTGAGACAAAAACACAACAAACTCTGTTTTATCTGCATTTTCAGGATATTTCCTTTGATACCCAGTTACTTTAAAGATCTTGAATTTCTGAGAGGTCTCAGACTCATCGTCCGAAGAACGACGACTATCATCGCCACCCCCAAAGTCTTTTTTCCGCTTTTTCGTACTAGCCATTTAACTTCTATATACCTATATTTGAATTGAAACACTATTTACATAAAACTATACAAGAATACACAAAAAAAAGAGAAAATTAAAATTAATGCAAAAAAAATCTTCAAAGCGCGCCTTTCCTCTTCGAAGGTTCCCGCCGAAAAAAACCTTCAAAAACAACTTCAGAGTATCAAAGCTGATACTGACAGTTTTTTTTTTAAGATTCTCCCATTTTTTTGGGAAAGCAAAGGGAATAATGCCCGTAAAGCCTACTCTTAATTTTTATTAATCTTCTTCTTTTTACATTAGAATGTAGGTGTGACGCATTCTTATGTTTCTAGGAGTATTTGACACGAAATGTATCGAGTTGGCTTTTTGATACGCTTCTGTGAGGTAGTTTACACTACAATAAAGTTCTCTCGTCCACTTCAACGGAATATCTTATATTTTAAAATTCCCCTAATTCTTCAGTTGCGCAGACCGTTGTAACACAAAATCACACCAATTTTATTTTACAATGGTGCCAATTCTGGCGTGATTCTCTAAACTTAAAACTAAATTTAACATCAGTCTCTCCTTTTCATTATGTATAGAGAATGACGAGGATATACTGCTGTCAAATTTAAGTTTAGGTTTAGAGAATCATGCTAGAATCGACACCAATATCCACTATGAACGAATAAAAAATTAATAAAATGAGATCCAAAGCGCACTCTATTTTTTAACGTTCTCCCTTTTTAGTGAAGGTAAAAGGAACAATGCCTCTACAGCCCAGTCTTCAGTTCTTTTTTTTTGCATTACAAATGCGGGTGTGACGCATTTTAATGTTTCTTGGAGTGTTTTGCACGAAATTAAATGTATCGAGTCAAATTTCTGCTTTCTGTGAGGTAGTAAACATTAACGTCTACCTGACCGAAATCTTGGAATAGCGTACCTATATTTCAAGGCTTAAAACCGGTTTCGAAAATACCGGTAAATAAAGGTTAATACCGATTAGTAGTAAAGGTTTCGTTCGGAGCGCGTCCGAAATGAAAGCGGTACCTAAAACCTTAATAAACCGGTTTAATCCAGAGCGACACGTGCACGCGTCGGCATCGCTTGAAGTTTATTTTGTTTGAACTAATCAAGTCACAACTTGTTAATGCTCAGAGATTGATGCATTTATTGACACGTTTGCTAGCGTCTAGCGAGCCAAATTATTCATTTATTATCGATGCTGCCAGTAAGAGTGAAATGAAACCCTTTAAAAACCGCTAAATTGATTCAAACCCTGTTTGATTTCGCTTTTTAGGAATACCGGATTTTTAAGGTTAAGGTAGAGCCAAACCTAATTAAAACGCTCCTAATGTACTTGATTTAGGTTTGAAAATTAACCGGTAAACAAGCCCTGGTATATTTTAAAGATTCCACTAATACAGTCTAAATCTTCAGTTGCGCAGAAGGTTGTAATACAAACGCACACCAGTTTTATGTAATGAACTAAATATAATTTAGGCTCTAAATGTAATTTTTAATTAAATATAGTTTTGTTATAAATTTTACCATTGCCTGCCCGTTAAGAGCACACTGTTATGACTTTGTTTATTATTGCAATTCCAACTGCATTGTACACAGTTTTCAAGCAATAAAGTTATTTCATTTCAGTCCAAAGGCGACAATTAAATGAGATACAAAAGCAAAAAAGTCATGCAAAACTGTAATTTAATAAAATCAAGTCTTATAAATATTTCTTTTTAAATGGAAATTATTTGTGTACATGTTTTGGCTCTTGAAATATTATTTTATAATTTGTTATGCTTTGTACTCTTGATTCACATGGTTATAATATAAAACTTAGAATATGTTTTAACAGTGTTGAAGTAAATCAAAACTTAATACTTTGAAATTACATTGCAGCAATTCAATAGTTATTAAAATACAGCAGTTGCTGTTTATAAGAGAATCATAGTTGACACCAAAGGTATGATTAAGTTAATTTTCGTTTAAGAGATTTCTTTTCTTTGTTGACTTTGTATGCTGCTGCCATTTTTTGCATGTTTTCTTTGTGTATTTTATCATGGTCTACAATCCTTTGAGGGTAACCCTCACCAACAACACAACCAGCTGTCCTCTGTACAGATTTTGGTGCTTTCCAAGGTTCATAAATGTATTCTGTGGGGTATTTCTTTAGCTCTGGGACATACTTTCTTATAAAAAGACCTTCTTTATCTGTTTTTTTCCCAAATGCCACAGGGCTGTATACCCTGAAATACTTATAGAAGAATGCAGATGCAGAGAGCCACATCCAATTTCCAGCATTAAGAGACCAGTCATAGTCCAGTAAATAATCTTCAAAAACTCTCGCCCCTTCTTCCCATGATATCCACAGATCTCCTCTAGTGAGAAAACATGCTACCATATGTCTAGCTAAATGATGAATCCAGCCTTCTTGCTTCAGCTGTCGCATTATGGCATCTACAAATGGATAACCAGTCATTCCTTCTGACCAAGCTTTCAAGTATTTATCATTTTTGCCCCAAGGTATTTGAGTACAAACAGCATTGCCAACCATTTTATCAAAATTTTCTGTCCCAGCCCCAGCAGTATAGTAAAATTCTCTCCACATCAGCTGGCCCAACAATGACACTGGTGGCTGAGAGTGTGCGACTCCATTCTCTACCCCCTTCAGCCTGTGATAAAATAATTTAGAGGACAAACATCCATGACTTAAATATGGACTCAAAACTGTTGTGCTTGGTTCAATGCTATTTGGTGAAGTATTTGGTTTTTCAAATTTACAGACCCAATTCTTTTTTTCCATATATAAATTTAGTCTTTTAAGACCTTCTGTTTCACCACCATGGTATTTACATGATTTCAAAGAACTTTCATCTATTCCTAAATCATTAAGTGAAGGCACATTATATTCTTCACATGTTGAGTCTGGTGGTTTACAGTAATCAGATAAAGTCTTTGTAATTTCAATAGTTTCTTTAACTTTTATATCCTTTACCAAAGACAAAAACTTCTGATATGTCAGTGGTACACTGCCATTATTTTTCTTTAAAACACTGTGAAAATCGTAGACTGTATGTTGAACTCTTCGTACAATAAATATTCCTTTCTCTTCGGCAAGTCTATCAACAATTTCATCTTGTTTTACTATTTCAGGGTCAATATCTATTTGGGATGTTAAATATTTGACTTGCCACTCATCAAATAATTTCGAAAACAGTTCATCAGCCGTGCCTTTTAATATAAAAAGACGAGAATTAAGTTTTCTTAAATTAGAGTCTAAATCTTGAAGACTTTGAAATAAAAATCGCAACCTATTCACACCAACACGTTCTTTTATATCTGGATCGATGATAAAAACAGGTCTTAAATAATATTGCCGATTTTCAGCCTGTAACAAGTCATATTCATGTTTAATAAGGCAGGTAGCTAAACTTACACCCTATTACAAAGACATTATTATTAATATTAACCCACCTCATTTATGGCATTTCTTAACGCAAGGTTATCATGAATGCGTAAATCTAGACGAAACCAATGAACAACAGATGCTTTATTCGCCATTTAGGGGCCATCCATAAATTACGTCACACGTTAAGGGGGAGGGAGGGGGTCGATGAAGTGTGACATTGTGTGACAAGGGGCTGGGAGGGGTCCTAAATTTCGTGACGTCACATTTAAAAATCTATTATAATCGAAATGTTGAAACTATAACTTTACGAAAACATAAACAACCCAAACGAGAACAAAGTGGTGCTATGCCAGTTATAAATAATTTAAAGAAACGGGCTCAATGCCTATGGACTCAAGATTATTAAGTTTGTAACTTTAATGTAATCATAATGCTATTCATATTTGTTTTGTTAAATTGTTGGATTTGATGTTAATATTATTAAAAAACAAATTTGAATGAAAATAAAACTAATTACAGATCCGCTGTTTACATTCAATAATTTCTAAATTTTGTAAAATATGTGACGTCACACTAGGGAGGGGGGGAGTCTAATGTGACCAGCTGTGACAAGGACGGGGGGAGGGGCAAAAAATCATGAAATTCGTGTGACGTAGTTTATGGATGACCCCTTATCAAGATTATTTGTAATTAGCTTAGCCACACGATAGTAAATACTGGTTTAATTATTTTTGTATCGTTTAATCGTGTTTAGATCACAGATCACTATATATGTAGCAGTTTAGATAGTGATCTGTGATCGTGTTACACACAAAATCTATGGCATACCTAAATGCCATTGACAGAAGGGCGCTCGGCTACGTTCAGAACCGCACTCTCAGTGCAACTTTTACCCTAATGCCAGCACTTCACTTGGCAGTTAATATTTGCTAACTATAAACTAGACAATTAAAAGGTGGACAAGTTTAAAAAATAGCAAGCACGAATAGCCAAATGAAGTACTAGTATGACGTTACAATTTTGATATAAAATGTATGGAACTTAAGTTGATTGACATTAGTTACACCCACCATAACTTGGTGCACCTGCACCAAAATAGCAGAAGCAAATTCCTTTAATATCACACCTAACCAATCATGCTCCCGTGAGTCGATCAACTCTATCCACAGTCACGGAGTGTAGATACGGAATGGGACTAACCTAGTGTCAATATATGTTTACAATACAGCGTCGCGTTGCTATGGCAATGATAGTGACAAGATGGTGCTTACTGCTAAGTGAAAATTTTCAGGCAATTTTTGTTTTTAAATTGTAAATAAATGGATAATTTTGTAAAGTGATTTTTAAACATAATTTAGTAATTAGTGATAATATAGAAGAGGTGAAATAATGTGGCAAAAAGTAATGTGTTTAAACTAAAAAATACAAAATACATACACCCTGCTTATATTATTAAAACTTTATGTATTGAAGAATATGTAAGCATAATTTGATATTGATTGTACTGTTCCTCAATAATGTGACCATCATCATGCCTAAAATAATTGAACTAACGGTTGAACTAGAAGTTCAAAAGGTAAACAAACTTTGTTTCCTGTTTGTTTATACATAGGTAATTTACATAAGAAACCTAGAAATGCTGAATCTATACAAAAAGTATTACTTTCCTATTCTATCTGAAACATTATTTTATAAAAATAATTATATATGCTCCATGCTCCTCCCTAATTGTATAATTTTTGATGATTTTTTATTTATATGATCTTTTATTGTTTCTGGCACGGTAATCATTAATTTAGAAATGTACCTTATTAGGTACATGTGCTAAATCTACAATCTCTGCTAGTTCTCAGGTTCAAAAAATTTGCTGATCATGTTTTATCTGATGATCTTATACTTCCAGGTTTCATGCCCTGGAGTGTGGTTATGCCAGGATGGGCGTGTTTCCCTCTCAGTATTTCTACTGGGAACGAGTTATCAGACATGCATGTTACCCCCTATCTTCCCGCTTATGTTCAAGGATATATTTTACTTCCGTAAGAGATTTCAAGAGTCATGTGCATTGAACAATATTTGCTGTATTCTAAGTAAGTAAATCAAGCATATTTATGTGGTTAGGTGATTGAGTTTAAATTCATTATTGTTATTGATAGAAACTATGTTTGGGTATGTTTAAGCTTGCTGGATGTTGTCCTTATACACTTCAACTTTCACTTGAATGGCTAAGATAATAATTATTCAGAAATTGAAGATATCCTAAAATTTTAAATTAAAATAATAAAATTACGGGCACATGCAAATTGCTCTCACACAACCTTATCTCATATTTGATTTTTTTAGAACGTTACATACATTTCTTTTTTCCTATTATACAAAATTTTGTTTTGTAAAGGCTGAATACTATCATTATAATTAAATTGTATGAAAAGGAAGAGCGAGATCTCCTGGTACAAGCATGTAAATGCTTAAAAGACGATGTCTATGTCATAATTGTTTGGCGAGAATATTGTAGTGATTAATTATTATTTATATAATTTTTTTTCAAACCATGCCGTTATAAACCAATGCTCAGCACGCTAAAGCATCATGGACAGCAGTTGTCAAGACTTATTTAATGTAGGGCTCTGCCTAGGCTTTCATTTAGAAAAGTTATTCAATGTTGACAACCATGCTGTTCAGTGTAATAGATAACCAACCACAAAGCTTGCAACTGTGTGTGGTGGCGTTTGTAGCCTTTTAGTGTATGTAGTCAACACAAGACAAGTGCTATCTAATGAGAGATTTAAAGCCTTTTAATGCTGCTGACACAGCTTGTTCCTTCTCCTTTAAAGTTAGTGTCCTTGCCTCACAGCATTACATTAGGATCAGGCGGTTGACCATATCGACAGTGGGAAAACGAAATCGCTTATACGTTGCTTCGGTGCTGCTTAAAAATGAACTTAATTTCTGTTTTTATTTAATGTTAATTTTTAAGCAGCACCAAAATTGCGTTTAAGCGATTTTGCTTTTCCACTGTCGATATAGTATCGGATGAATGACTGTATGGTTGTGAATCTTAGTGGTTCTGCTTAGATGGTGGACACCAGCACCGAGTGGAGAGCAGCACTGCATCGCAAAGTGTTCTGTATGCGGGTATCGATTTCTTGTCGTCCGTGTGAGTGTCTGTAATTGTGCATCCGAAGTATTTAAATGTCGCGATGCCCTCATAAGCCGTAGCTCCTACGCGAAGGTCTCCTGGTACTCTGTTGTCCCTGTATCTTCACATATGAAGTTCTCTAATTTGTAATTTAAGTTATATTCATGTTCCTATTCGTTGCTTGAAAATCTCTTGCCGCGACGTGTCGCATGCCAACACGTCACAGTCAATATACTATTAATTAATGAAGTAATAAAGCAATCTAAATTCTATTTGCAGAAGAAGAAACGATTTACTGTGAACTGGTGCAGTGGAGTGATGACTGTCACACGGGCGACTGCACTGTTCTGGCGCAGTATCTGGGTGCTCTGAACGATGTGTTGTTTCCACCAAACATGTGTTCTACTGACGGCGTCGATTTACTCATGCGACGTGCCAAGCAGTTCCCTGTAAGTAATAAAGTTATTGATCTCTAATTGTATTGGCAAATGGCAATATTTTGAAATACACGTTCTTATAAAAATCGTTGACCTCCCTCCAGAGCTTTTTAAGCTCTTTTTAAGCAGAGGTCAAGGTAATCTTTATACCAAAGCCAGGTAAGGCAGACTACAACGAGGCGAAATCTTTCAGACCGATAAGTCTCTCATCATTGCTACTAAAGACTCTAGAAAGATTGTGCGACAGAGAGCTGAGAGACAACCTATTAGTCAATATTCCATTACATCCGAACCAACACGACTATAGTCCAGGCAAGTCGACAGAAGCTGCACTACATGCATTCGTAAGTAAAATAGAGGATAGTCTTAGACGGAAAGAGCTATGTTTGGACACCTTTATAGACATAGAAGGGGCGATTGACAAAACAAGTCTCGCCAGCATTGTAGACGCACTCGGCAAACACGGAGTAGATGAGACCATCACATACTGGGTACTAATCAGACTACAGGACGACAACCATCTCAGAGCATTGGCGACTAAAGGATGTCCTCAAGGAGGAGTACTATCGCCTCTGCTATGGAATATAGTCGTAAACGACTTAATCACCAAACTAAACAACCTTCACTTCCACACGGTGGGCTACGCGGACGACCTGGCAATCATGGTCCCGGGTAAGTCTGCGAGCACCGCCTGTGATGTTACAAGGGGAGCAATGAAGGTGGTTGAAAAATGGTGTGACGACTATGGCCTCAAGGTGAATCCGGTGAAGACAGAACTGATAATGTTCACGAACAAAAGATCCTTAGGTGACTATCGGCTACCGAAACTCTTTAACACGACACTAACTCTCTCCAATGAGGTAAAGAATCTAGGAGTAACCCTAGACTCTAAACTGAACTGGGGATCACACATAGACAAAACTACTACGAAGACCAACATTATTTTCTGGCAATGTCTGAAAATGATTAGCAAAACTTGGGGACTATCACCGTTCATTGTCAGGTGGCTGTACACGACAATAATTAGGCCCATCATCAGCTATGCAGCAGTAGTATGGTGGACCAAGACAATCCAGGTAATAAGTTAAGACGTCTCCAGAGTTGCGGGCCTGCTGTGCAATCACCGGCTGCATGAAAATCTCTCCCATCATCAGCACTGGAGACTATACTTAATGTGAGACCACTCCATTTATTTATACAACAGGAAGCTGCTTGTACAGCCACATGACTAAGCATACTGGGGCTATGGAGGGACAACAACTCCCCACATACCAGTATCTTAGCAGACATACATAGGCACTTTCCGTACTTTGCAGCAGTAAACGACCTTATTCCTAAGACGTACGTATTTGACAAAAAATATAAAATACAACTGTATGAAGACACTCCGGACCGCTGTTTGCACAAGGAGCAAGGAGGTATTTCTGACAGCCCTCTGTGCAGAGCCTGCTTCGAGAAGGAGAAGATGAGCGCCCATGTTCTGCTGGACTGCAGAGGCAAGACAAAGGACTTCTCTAATGGGAAGCCCACGGACACTAGTAGAAGCCTGCAGTAACATCCGGGGACTGCTGAGCTTTCTGGAGGAGCTGGGATGGCAGGACTGATGCCATCCCCACGCAAAATAGGCACTGGGTGTCAAGTTGCGGAAACAGTCCGCCGTTCTACTAAGACTAAGACTTATAAAAATCGTGAATTTCTGATACTCAACTATGTTATATAGAGTATTAGAAGGTGCCTGCTACGTCGTCTGCGTGGTTTCTTAAACAAAGTTCCACCACCCCCTTAAAGAATGTTTTCTGGGATAAAAACTATTCTATTACCATCCCCAACACTCATACTATCTCCTTACTTAATTTCATCTCAAGGGGTAAGCGCTTTAAACGTAAAGAGGTAACAGACATACAAATACACTTTTCCATTTAGGGTGTACGCTACTGACGTAGCTGAGCACTGCGTGAGGCGGGTCTCCCATCGCAACGCTGCTCTATGAAATTATATGAAACTGCACTCAGAGCGGATCTCCGCTTCGTGCTCGGTCCCGCCTCGGCTCGACCACGGTCCGGTGCATGAATATAGCGCGCCGCCGAGCAATCATAGTGATGGTACCTCAAATGAAATAAAAAAGTTTTTGCTCGGATGAGTACACTTACACTATTTAGAGTTTGTCTATAAAGTCGTGACATGAATGTTTGAGGAACTAACATTATTCATGTGTCTGGCAACACCAAACTTATGTACATCAGTTGTCATCGAGTTTCAGTCGTGGAATAGTTTTCCTTTTGTATTTTTTATTGTTTGGATTAAACTATAATAAATTAAGACGAAACTACGCAGAAAGGTATAAAAATGAGTAAAGTAAATCGGAGTAGCACGCGGGAAGTGATTTTTAAAGTTTTCCAGCGATGTTTCGAAGACTACCAAGCTGGACGAATTTTGTGGGATTTGGACGATGTTTATGGGCGAACAGCATCTATGACGGGTATGTAATCGTGTAACTATTTGTTTGTAATCTGCCTGAAGTTACAAATTTACGATTTTGAGACCTAAAAAGGCATTGTTTACATTGCACATTTTTAGGTTAGATTGATATTGTAAATAGGTAATATTGTAGTACGACCATTTCTTTTGATACGTTATTATGGTTCAACTCGGTCAGGTTTTCTACCAATTTTGTATTAATTGCTTCATGTCAATAAGTTATTGTTACTATCACATTACCGTTACATATTTTTTTACTTTTTTTTTTCAGGAAAATCAGAGAGTCGGATAGTCAACGAAGGTTTTAAGAATGATGGAAAGTTTGAAACTCCTGGGAAAACAGGCAACGCCGACCGAAGAAAGAAATGGTCACATAAAGAACCATGTCCAGATACTTTTAGTGAAGATACCTATCACTAATTTTACTAACTGCACATGTACAAATTGTTTCTCTAAATAAACTTTTTATATACTATAAAATGATTTTTAGTATTATCTTCTTAACAAGTGTGTTAAAAAACGTCGTATGATGATACTTGTGTGTATTGACGATTACCTAACGGCTTTGGTCTCAATGGCACCTCAGCGGTAATCACCAACATTACACACTTTTACACTATAAAGTACTATTTTATCTATAATAATTTTATTCTGATTCAATTAAATATGCTTGGCTAAACTTTTTATAAGCATAGGTACCTACTATATATAAAACAGAAAAAAATACGACTATATAGTATGTTTTATTAATGACCTATTTTACTTGAATGAGTTGCTAGTATCAAAATCATTTTGGTCCGACTGTATAGGGCTGCTACATGCATACTAGTGGCGCCATCATTTAATGTCACGACTTTATAGACAAACTGTACTTTATCTGTATGAGTTGACAGCATCATGGCGCAACGGTACCTACCTAATTGCTCGGTCGAGGCACATCTTTGTAAATTAAAGGGCCCTAGACCTAAATAAAATTTAGCTCTCTAATTTAAAGTTTTAGTTTAGAGAATGTAACGGCATAAGAATGTAATTTCGATACCGGTAAAAATTTTAACGGTAAACAATTAACAGAACATACCATAACCGTATTATAACGTTAATCAAGTAATTAAATGATACCATAATGTTAAAAGTTATAATGGTGTCGATCCTGGCATGATTCTCTAAACTTAAAACTAAATTTCACATCGGGTTCTCCTTTTCATTCTGTATAAAGAACGACAAAGATAGACTGTTGTCAATTCTAATTTTAGGTTTAGAGAATCATGTCAGAATCGACACCAGTGTTGTCGATTCTGACAGGATTCTCTAAACTTAAAACTAAATTTAACATCAGTCTGTCCTTTTCAGGCTGTATAGAGAATGACAGAGATACACTGTTGTCAAATTTAAGTTTAGCTTTAGAGAATCATACCAGAATTGACAACAGTTTATACAGAATGAAAAGAAGAAACTGATGTTAAATTTTGTTTTAAGTTTAGGGAATCATGCCAGAATCGACACTAATAACGATATATTTAAAGATGCCATTCCACGTTTTTTCTTGTTTGTAGTTTCAAATTGTAACTTGCTTTTAACCTTATGGTAGCCATACACACTACGAGAAATCGTTACGATCAGACTGTACAGTTCGAACGGAACAGTTTATCGGACGTGGCGTACGTACAGGAAACTGTGCAGTTTTATAACATACACGCTACGATTTATCGGTACCGTTCGGACGGTACAGTCTAATCGTAACGACTTCTCGTAGTGTGTATGGCTACCATTAGTAAAACGAGTAAGAGCGCATTGTCACGGTATTCCATTGAGCACCTTGGTTACTTTATATTTGGCATTTTTTGTGCCTGGGGAGGCGGCTGCCCCGATACCTACCACTGTGAATAAATTTCTGATCCCTTTACATACGCGTAAGCATTTGTGAAATGTACTGTTATAAATAAGATATGTATGTAATATTGCAGATAGGGCTGTCAGACAGCTGACTAAGCAATATGGTCTCACGTCCGCGTCCAAGCCATCTTGGTTAGACAGTCGCATCACAGCCCTACTCGCGAGCGGTCATTTCTAACTGAATAAATAGTGTGTGAAAATAAAATCTCTTTTTTTAAAAAGACATCCGAAGGGTCCCGTATAACATTGGTGGCAGCGTAAAGGGATTTAAGAATAGATCCCCGGTACGTCTTCGTAGTTCGACTCGCGAGTGAAAACCTGTGTAATCATAAAATCCAGAAACTTTTCCGGTGCGACTCATACATTTTCAAAATCCGTATTATATACGTATATTTCCAATCGATTCCAGAAAGTTAAAAACCAGTTCCAGTTACGTAATACGTTAATAATACACTACATAAATACATCTTTATAAACTTTTACTACTTGTGTGTGTGTCCGTGTTGTTCCTGAGCCGTTGAAGATGATCGCCGTGTTATTCTCCGTACTGTGAGTTAATTCAATCCTACAAGTGTTGTTGTGCAAAAGTCCCAGTGATATTTAATTCGACGAATTCAATACTCAGTGCAGTACAAACGTTA